TGCAAACGTACCATTACCATACCCAAGAAGGACACCGACGCTATAATCATTGGCGACAACAATATCCAATAGATTATCATTGTTGAAATCGCCAACAGCTACACCTAGTGGATCTGAGCCAGTTGAATACATCATTTGATCTGCAAATGAACCATTGTTAAATCCAAGAAGAACACTAGTATTATTGCCGATAGAATTGGTGACAACAATATCCAGTCGATTATCATTGTTGAAATCACCAACAGCTAAAGTCTGTGATCCACGGCCAGTTGAATATGTCATTTGGTCTGCAAATGAACCATTACCATACGCCAAAAGAACACTGACATTGTTGTCATCACCATTGGCAACAACAATATCCAGTCGATTATCATTGTTGAAATCACCGACAGCTACGGCCTGTGGATTAGAGCCAGTTGAATATGTCGTTTGATTTCCAAATAAACCATTACCGTACCCGAGAAAAAACACTCACGTTGTTGTCACCTCTATTAAGCACCACAATATCTAGTCGATTATCATTGTTAAAATCACCAACAGCTACAGAGTATGGAGAAGTACCAGTTGCATAGATTATGGGATCTACAAAAGATCCAGTATTATATGTAGTAAAGACATCCACATTATCATTGCCATCACATGCGACAGCAATTTCTGATTTTCCATCATTACTAAAATCACCAGAAACGATAAGAAATGGAGATGCAACAAAATGGAATCCATTATTTGTTTGAGTTGTAAATGTGCCTTTTGCATTTCCAATCAGCATATCGATATCTTTAGTACCATAATTTAGCACAGCAATATCCAATAGCGTGTCACCATTATAATCAGCAATAGCAATAGCTGATGGATGAGAATTTGAACCACTGATGAGCATTTTTTGGCTTAGAAAAGTATCATTTCCACTTCCAACAAGAATACCAATATCGTTGGTACCATAATTAGCTACAATAATATCGAGTCGAGTGTCATTGTTTAGATCACTAATAGAAACATATCGTAGGCTGGAAGCACCGCCAGATGCGTAACTTATATATTTGATCAAAGCTCCTCTGTTATACTGAAGTAGTATACTAACGCTATCATTAAAACCACTGAGAGCAACAATATCCAGGTGAGTATCATTGTTAAAATCACCAATAGCTAGAGAGCCCGTGCCAGGTGAAAACGCTATTTGCTGTGCGAACGTACCATTGCCATATCCGAGAAGAACACCGATGTTATCAGAATAGCCGACGACAATATCCAGTTGATTATCATTGTTGATATCAACAACAACTACATACTTTGTAAAAGAGCCAGTTAAATATATCATTTCATCTGCAAACGAACCATTACCATATCCAAAAAAAAACACTAATGTCACTGGTCGCTATGTTTGCTGTAACAATATCCAGTCGGTTATCGTTGTTGAAATCACCAACAGCTACACAGTATGGCCCACCGTCAGTTGAATGTGCTATTTGATCTGCAAACGTACCATTACCATACCCAAGAAGGACACCGACGCTATAAT